TCAGGTATTGAGGATTTTATATGTCCCATAATGAACCAAATTAAAATGGGTTTTTACTTTACCAATTTTGTATGAAAATTCTTAAAAATTTTTATTTACTATTTTTTTTGGGGAGGAAAGAGAAAGATGATCTTCATATATATAATCAAATCAAACTTGAAAAAAAAAATTTATTTTCGTTTTCATTTTCATTTTCCAAATTAAAAAATGAAAGTTATAATTAACAATCGTTCTGAACAGTCAAAGAAATTTCCTATAAGTATAGATATTTCAGAAGACGCGACTGCTGACCAATTAAAAGAACTTATTCATAAAAAATTTAAAACTTATTATCCTGATAGACAACGTTTAACATTTTCTCAACAACTTTTGCAAGATAAAAAAACTTTAAAAGGTTATGGTATCAAAGATGGTGATACAATTTTATTTAAAGATTTAGGTATGATGAATTTTTCTTATATTTGTAAAATAAGTAATGATAATAATATTAATTGTTTACTTGTGTAATCTATTAATATCTAATAAAGGACCTCAAATTAGTTGGCGATTGGTGTTTTTTATTGAGTATTTGGGCCCATTAATCTTACATCCAATATTTTATTATTTTAAATCACAAATTTATGGTCAAGATTTTGAACATAGTGAGATGCAAAAGTAAGAAAAAATCAATCAGTCATTTATATTTTGATTTGTTTTATATATTTTAAATATATAGTGATGTGAATATCAACAATTATAGGATTGCCTATTATATGGTTATGGGACATTTTATTAAAAGAGAACTGGAAACTTTATTTGTACATCGATTCTCTCATGGAACAATGCCAATGTTTAATGTCTTTAAGAATTCATTACATTATCATTTACTTAGTGGCGTTAACCTAGCTTATTGGGTATATGGACCTTGGTATGCTAATTCTGAAAGTTATGAAATTTTGACTTGGTCTTGTATTTTACTTTATCTGGTAAATAAAAATTATATTTTTTATTTCTTGAAAAAAATTTCAAGGCCATTTATAATCATTTATAATATAACTAATAATACAATAATAATAATAATTATCTTGGTGAAATTTAAAAATAAGTTTGCGGAAATTTCAAATTTCAATACTCATATGGCTTTACGTAATCTACGGCCACCTGGTACTCGTGATCATAAAATTCCTTATGGTTATGGATTTAATCTTGTCTCGTGTCCCAACTATTCTTTTGAAATTTTAGCATGGATTAGTATATGTATTTTAACAAAATCACTTGCAGCATATCTTTTTACTATTGTTGGATCTATTCAGATGTATTTTTGGGCTATTAAAAAACATAAAAATTATCATAAAGATTTTAAAGAATATCCAAAAAATAGAAAAGCATTAATTCCTTTTATCATTTAACAAGATATCGAATGAACATATATAACGAAAACGTAAAGAATCAAAGCATATTATTGTTAATTGAACAGATCAAATAATTCATTTCAAATATATTAAAAAAAAAAAATTTTTGTCATTAGCAAATTTCTTTTTGAAAACTAAAAAATATTTCATTTTAAATTGATACTACTAACCTAGAAAGCAAGAACTTTCACTCCTACTTTTAGAAACACAACATTTCCAGATCCCACCCATCCATTTAAGAATTGATCAAACAATGTTGTATTTCAAATATATGGGTCATGGACAATAGAAAGGGAGTCAATTTCAAAATCACAATTTTGAAAAATTGAAAAATGGTCTGCATTTCTTTTTTAATCCTTTAATATTAATGAAAATTTTAAGTAAAATTGCATATAGAAATGTTAACTCAAAATCATGATCTTTGTAATTATCCTTTTTTAAAAAACTTAACAGAAATTTATCAAAATTTTATTAAGTGGGCATAGTTTCTAAACTAAAATTGTTCCTTGTAACAAGTTATGTATATGTGTGGTATCAATTCAAAATCATGATTTTTGACGTTGACCCCTTTCTATTGTCCATGCCCTATATGTGAGTGCGGTCGCGTTTACTTAATCGAAAATTATTTCGTCGACAATCATTTCGTCGACACCCATTTCGTCGAAAGTTTGTTTCGTCGAAAGTTCATTCGTCGAAAATTATTTCATCCTCAAGCCGGGGACCGAACGAGTTAGATGTGAGGAGTGTGGGAAGTTATTTAAGAAATTAGGCGAGGAAAGCGGAGTGTGTGGGCAGTGTGAGGATAAATTTGTTTAATGAAGTTTTTTTTTTGTGACGAAATAATTTTCGAAATGAATTTTCGATGAAACTTTCGACGAAATGACTGTCGACGAAATGATTGTCGACGAAATGAATCAGACCCCATGATAACTTGACGAGACTACACCCCAAGTCTTAATAAACAAATGCAATTAAAATATCATCCCGAATTCAATCAATATACCGTTACGACAGCCACAACACATCAGCTGTACTAAAACTATGCACAAGATTTTCGAGAATATTTTTATGAATTATAACTAGTCAGATGTCTAGTTCTCGCATGATCACAATAATTAGCAGATAGATAGCTTTGCTCTACAAATTTTCCAAGCCTCCGAAACTTTTTCGAATCATCATCACAATTTAGTGTTGTTCAAATACGAATTTGTAGCAAAATAATATGGTTGTGCTGAAAACTTCGATTATACCATGTCTGCTTGTGTCAAGCATTTCTCATTTTAATTATTATAAACATATCGCCAAAAATGATCAAAATAATTTGAAGTAGGACTATTTAAAATTAATTAATTAACGCTCTCGTTCAGAAAAATCTCAAAGGTCATCTTGATTTAAGAGAGTTTGTGAACTTAGAAGTTTTGAATATTTTGGATAATGAGATTATCAATATTTAACTTGAATGTTGTCTGCAACAGCGCGAATATTTCCAAGTTAAAAATCCTGTCCAAGATTAGATGTTCAGAATGTCTCCTTTGTTAAAATAGCAGTTCAAAGTTGAGGCTTTTGCAATTTGTTTGTTGTCATTATGAGTTGAAAGAATTTATTAGAGTAAAAGGTAAGCTGGAGCATTTATTAAGTGATTACAATTGCTACATTGAATATTTACTTTTTTTTTATTTGTAGAAAGCCAAAATTATATTTATCATCACTGTCAACATTTAGATTCACTTGATGTAAAAGAATGTTCTCTTAGGTATTGGCACTAACCATCAATTAACTTCCCTGGAAATAAGATTATACTTTTATAACCAATTTAAATTTATCCAGGACCAAACTCAAATTTCGTTTCTTAAAAGCTAGAATGCAAAAAGAATAACAAGAAAAGTGCTCGGATTTTTATTTTTGATTCAATTTACTATGTATTGTGTTATTGCTTTATTATTGTAAAAACATGTAATTTTAATTAGCAAATTTGCAAATAAAATAAGGAAGATGGCTAACCTAAGAAATGAAATAATCTATATATCTAAGTGAATGCAAATGATTTGAAGAAAAGATGAAGATAAAATAACAACCACGTTACTTGTGTTGTATAATAATAAATAATGATTAATGAAATAAATATTAAATAATATAGTATATACATATATAGTCGGATGACAAGGATTTGATGATGTGAATCACCACTATTAATTAGGTCTAAATTTGAATTGATTCAGAATTATATGATGATGATTTCCTTGTAAATCACTTCTAGATTTTCTCTATTATTATAATTATTTTGAGTGACTTATGAATTACCAACCAAATTCTTAAAATTCATATATCACAATATAATCCATTCGACCTTTTCCTTTATGATCTTTAATACGCCTGGTCCACGTACGACCATTATTCCATGCATTAAGAATACTTGCTCTTTCTTTTTCCCATTTTTCATTTCTATAATACACCACTTTACAAGTAGTCTTTTGATCATATGTATTTAACCTGTTTGTTGCTGATGCTGATGGTAAATTATCATTGATGTCATGATTATACCAGGATCTGTCAATATACCATTCATCTTCTATAGTTACTGATCTACTATTGGGTCCGGAACCTCTTGTTTCACTAAATAAATAACAAATAAATATTTTTAGTATAAAATTAATAGTAATAATAAATAATTAAAAAAAAGGAAAAATAGAAACATACTATAATAACTTTTTTAGATAGTCATAATTTGGCCGTTGCGCAAATTTTAGGTTCCTACAGTAGTATAGATATTTTAGAAACCCCCTTGGAATTCCAATACACAAGTCAACCAAAGAAGTTTCTTCTTTGATTTCCAATACTCTTGTCCATAATTCTTCATCAGTATACCAGATGGCTTTAGACCATGGCAGGAACCCTTTTAACATCTCCAAAAATATATATCCAAGAGATTCCATATCATCACGCCTGGTATGATCTATATAAAATTATTATTATTATTAGAAAATTTTCATTATTATGGATTACATTCAAGTGTATAATAAACAACTTACAACATCCCCGATGCACATTTATACTAGCATATTGGGCTGTACCAGTTTTTAATCCATTTATTATTTTTTCGTCATCATCTTGGATGTGTATTCCTGTTTCCTGGTCAATATAGTAAGATGCTAATCCAAAATCGACCAGAAACGTTTTGTATTTTCTACCAACTAATATCTGATATTTGTCAATTATAGATCTACATATATCATTATGTACTTCCTCTGGATCATTTAAAGATATAGGAAAGTCATCTTCAAGAAGAAAATTTTCAGATTTAATGTCTCGATGGACAATTCCTTTGCTGTGTATGAATTCCATTGTTGAAACCTATAGATATAAAAAGTATATCGGTGAATATATATATATCATATATAATATAATCAATTAATCAATTAATCAATTAATAAATACCATTTGAATTGCAATGTCGCTAACAAACTCTACAGGTAAGGCTTGGAATGAATTGGTCACCAATTTTAAGCTTGGGCCTAACAAATCCATCACCATGCAATTCCAAGCAATTTTTGGGCCATACCTAAAATAACCAATATCGTATAAATACATATATGTATGCGGGTATAATGATTACTTGTTAAATTTAAAGCCTAAGCTAATAAATAAATAAATAAACAAACAAACAAATAAAATTTTTTGCATACCAATAGACTTTCGGAACATGTTCTTTTTAAAAAACAAATCATATATATAATTAACTAATTAATAATTGGTATAAGTTGATAGAAATTATTTAATATAAAATTTACCATGTTCTTCAAACATTTTTAATAATTTATATTCATCAGCCAGCTGTGGAAAATTGATAGAAGAATCTTCTCTTTTAATAGCAACTAAATCTTTTCTTGTCATGTGTTTAGCTTTTAATAAATAGGAAGATTAAATTTATTACTTTAAGCATTTTTATAACGATAAATTATATGATAATAAATAATACCTCTGAAAACTTGACCGAAAGATCCCTCTCCAATTTGTTCTTCAACTAACCAACGTCCTCCAACGATTACATCCCAAATCATTTTTAGCAAATTATTTAGTTATTGTTTTTTTTATTTGATATAGGCTAAGTGTGGTTATTAGTTCAAAAAAGGCTTCAAGGACTTTTGTTCACTATATCTGTCATTTGGGAATTAACAAACTGTTCAAATCAGTCGAGTTTTTTTTTTCACTTTTTTTAACCAGATAATCAACTAACTAGCTCTGGTTAATTTGACTTTTGGTTTTTTTTTTTAAAAGTGGACAGGAATTCATGCAAAAAAAAATTTTTTGATTGATCCCAAAATTTGCAATTGTTAGAATTCCGGCCACGTGATAATAATAATCATCATTTCTATTAGTATTATTTTAATTTTCAAACTATAGTTGGCTCGGTCTAAAGACCTCCTAAATTTTGAGCAAATTTTAAAAGTATAGAAGTCATTTTCTGTCCTAC